CTATCTATCTATCTATCTATCTATCTATCTATCTATCTATCTATCTATCTATCTATCAGACCTGCTTTGATTTGGATTTCTACCTTGAGCAAAGCCCCTTCCAACACCATTATTCTATGAATTATTTGATGAAATTTCAAGCCACCATTGGGACAAAATGTTGTAGCTTCTGTTTATTAATGTGTGTGTGTGTGTGTGTGTGTGTGAAGGCACATTAGAGAGATTATTTTCATATAGTGCATTTCGTATGGGTTCATCACCTGCTGTATTATTTTTAAGAAGAATGCTCGGAACGTGATGTAAATAAGAGGATTAAGAAATTCTTCAGAAGAACTTGAAGAAGTAGAGAAAATGGCCATTCAGTACACATGGACTAAGCTATGTTTTCTGAAGGCTCCCACGTCACAAAATAACCCTGAGTTAGCTACCTGAATCCATCAGGATAAAACTTGTTAGGAGCAGAGGCTTGACTGTAATACTGCAGTTTAACCACTGCACCACGAGGCTAGTTTTAGTAACTTCAGTAACTGCCAGTCACCTTGACTATTTCCAGAATCCAGTATTCTAGGATGCTCAGAGTCCCTGAGGACTCGGGGCATGAATCCAGATCATTATAGGAAATCAAAATGGTGTCCTCGGTCCTTGGAAGGCGAATGTGGACTTAATTTGCAAGTCTGTTCATTGAAACACAAATCTCTGAGGGAATCGCATTGTTTAGGAGAAGGAAGCAATCAGGAGTGGGAGGCGAGGAAGTGGCAGCAAGGTGTTGAAGGAAGAGCTATGAGAGACATCTAACTTTCCCTGGTTTTCTTAGGTAGCCAGGGCTGAAAAGAAAACCGACAGTCAATGCAGACCGCATCCCCTTGCTCAGTCAGCAGAATATCTCCATCTGGCAACACATTTGTGTTCATCCTACTTCAATACAGGATGAAAACAAGAAAATATTCACCATGCTTGTTAAAAAGCAAGAAGGATAAATCTTAGTTTATTTTATTTCTTCAGGCATGAAATAAAACTTTCAGAGGTTTTCTCCCTGTGGGTAAGAGAACAAGGGTTTCTGTGCATTTTTCACATTGTTAGGCTGTTTTTCTTTCTTTCTTTCTTTCTTTCTTTCTTTCACTGTCCCCTTTTTTTGCAACATTTTCACCCACCCCCCAAAAAGCCTTGTGTATTGATTTTGATATGAAATACTAGTTTTTTTGTGCAAACCACACTTCTTTATTAACACGGCAGGATCATGTATCTACAGGAGACTGGTGCCGAGTCTGCAAAACTTTCACAGCAGGTTTGTTACCCACCCACCCCCCAAAAAGCCTTGTGTATTGATTTTGATATGAAATACTAGTTTTTTTGTGCAAACCACACTTCTTTATTAACACGGCAGGATCATGTATCTACAGGAGATTGGTGCCAAGTCCCCCTCTTGGATGATGAAAAATAAATATTATAGCGAACACTATTTTAATGAAAATTATATTATACACCGCATGATCTCTGGCTCCCTCTAGTAACCAGTTCTAGGTTATAGCGAACACTATTTTAATAATTATATTATACACCCCTTGATCTCTGGCTCCCTCTAGCGGCCAGTTCTAGTAATTTCATAGTTAGAAATATACATTTATAGGATTTTCCCCCTTTAATATTTTTAATATTTTCAGACTGTGGATAAGTGAATCAGTGGATACTGATCCCACAGATAAGGGGGTCCTTCTCTACTGCTGCTGCTAAAAAGGTGCAGGCCATTTCAGTTCCATGCAGGAATGAAAACTCTCCCAGAGGCTGACAATTTCTGTTGCGTGTTTTGTTTTCTTTTGGTTTTGACGGAGCTTCTTAGTGCCTCAACACACACTTTTTGGTCAAAAATAAGAAAATTTGAGTACTTTCTACATCCTTAAATATGCTATATACATCCTTCATGAGCTCTATCATCCAGAAAGACCCAGTTATATCCATGACTTTTAAAAGTTCAATAACAGCAATGACTTACCACTGCTAAGAAAGCCGAAAACTCCAACCCGATAATTTGCAGTTACAACAATAAGATTGCCAACTCCAGCTAAATAGGATCCATCAATGACTGTTCTCGTTTGGTCACCGGCATTACTTAGGCCATTGTGAAAGAATACCAGCACTGGTAGATTTCCTCCCTGTCACAGTAAAAGATTGAGGAACAAAAGAGAATGAGAACAGAAAACTGGGATCATCCTCAAAAAGTCACAATTAATGTTTATAAATAATGTTCCGTATACGGTGTTCTGCTTATATACCACCCCATAGTGTTTAAAACACTCTCTGGGCGGTTTACAATATCATTACACATTTTCCACCCACCAGCAAGCTGTGTATTCATTTTATTGAAGGATGGAAGGCTGAATCAAGCTTGAGCCTGCTACTTGAATCCGCTGGGATTGAACCAGGTTGTGAGCAGAGTTTTCACTGCAGTACACCAATTTAACCACTGTAGTACGAGGCTCATCTATGTGCATTGCTAGTCTGCCTGCTTCCATGACAGCTGAGTATGTACAAAACTAGTTCCTGAACCCCCCAAAAAAATTAGATCTGGGAACCTCTGTAATCAAAAATCTTGCCTTTACACCTTGAAGAAACACGGAGGCTCAGATTTCTGCTGAAGCAATGGTATAGATAGGGGTAACAAGGGATATGAAGAAAGCTCAACTAAAATGGTGGTCTAAGCAACAAACAGAAATAGAAAAAGCAGAGAAGATTATGAGTTCTCTTAAAGTTTAGAAAAAGACCAGGAAGGCAGCAGTGGGTTCAGAAAGCAGTATAATGCCCGCTATTGAAAGACATTTTGAAATCCTCAGATATTTGGGTGTCAAAGGTGAAATCATAGTGTTGAGTTAGTACATTGTAAAACCTGGGAACTGGTCTGGATGCAAAACAGAACCTCGGTTCAGAGCTCCCAGATCCAAAATCAAGATAGTTATAACATATAAAAATAATAACTTTTGAACTGTAGAACTGGAAGGGACCGTATGGATCATTGGGTCCAGCCCTTGTCAAGGAGTCCCAGTGGGGGAATCAAACTCCTAACCTTTGGCTCTGCAGTCAAAGAAGTAAACCACTGAGCTATCCAGCCAATCTGTTGATGTCCATCCTCCAGCAGACAGGAACAAGAAGAGGAATGAAACGGAAATGAAGGCAAAGAGGAGAGGGGAAGGAGGAAGTGGCAGCAAGAGGAATTCTGTTGCATTCAAGGCATGTTGGGGTGGCTGTCTCTTGGATAGGCAGCTAAGACCCGTTAGCTTTACGAAAGGCTTGATCGCAAGCAGACAAGAACCACTGGAGTCAATGTGTTGATAAGGTTCAACACAGGTGCCTAGATTGTTAGGATTTGGGGGCAGGCGGAGGCATCTTTATCGACACGGTCAGGGTGAGCGTTGACATTTGAACATTTACCGCCATACTGCTCTTTCCCATCTAACACTGTTTCTGTGTTCTGAACTAGAACCTCCTACATGTAAACATCACTACCTTCTGTTTGCAGACAAGGGAAAAAAAACCAGAAACATCTGATCACAGAACTCCACATCACGTGTGTTTTAAGCCTTTTTAAAAACCTGAAAATTCAATTAATAAGTCACTGGGCATTTCTGCCACTCCCTGCTCCCTCCTCGGGCTAATATAAAACAGGGGAAGCTTCTGTTGACCAGATCCCTGATTAAACAGTCTCACCATGAATTCTGAAATGAATCACAAGTTGATTCAATCTGTGCACATTAAGAAAAAAAATCTACAGGCACGTGTTTTCCCTGCTCACACCCTGTTTTCATCCCTCTCCTCAGCCCCACTCCTTCCTCATGCTGTCTTGTTGAGGAGAAATAGAACGGAGGGAAAAGACATTCATGAATTCTGCCTCACATTAGGTTGGCCCTTGGAAGTGGGTGCCCAGCGTTGGTAAAGGCATGCATTAGAACTTATGGGTGAACAGCAAAATCATCACTCTCAAAGTGAGCCAGAGGGGAACATCCTGCTTTGGGAAAACAGCGTTTTTGAAAGGGATGTGTTATTGTTAAAATCATTAGTCTTAAAAGGCTATACAATGGTGCCTCGCTAGATGATGATAATCCGTTCCACTGAAATTGCTGTTTAGCGAAATCATTGTCTAGTGAAAAGCATTTCCCCATTGGAATGCATTGAAACCTGTTTAATGCGTTCCAATGGGGAAGAATCGTCATTGTCTAGCGAAGATCGGCCATGGGAAAACCGCTTTGCGACCGCTGATCAGCTGTTTAAATTGCTGTCTTGCGAAGCTTAGGTCCCGAAAACACCTATTTTGCAAGCGCTAAGGGAGCTGTCAAAATCGTCATCTAGTGAAAGTCGGTTTGTGAAGCAGGGACCAAACATTGTCCAGCGAAATTCCCCCATAGGAATCACTGTTTTGCGAATCGCTATAGCGATCGCAAAAAGTCAATGTCTAGCGAAAAAACCGTCATGCGGGGTAACTGTCTAGCGAGGCGCCACTGTTCGTCGCCTTGTCCCCCCCTCCCCCCGTTTCATGAAAAAGTGATGATTCCAACCTTAAGACATTAAATGATAATGATAACCTTTGAACTATAGAGCTGTAAGGGACCCTATGGATCATTGGGTCTAGCCCCTCTCAAGGAGGCACAGTGGGGAACCGAAGTCCCAACCTCTGGCTCTGCAGGCAGAGACCTAAGACACTGAACTATCCAGCGGATGTCTTATGTCCATGCTCTGGGTATGACTAAAGTCGTTTGTGTGTTCCAGGCAGGGGGTGAAAATTTTTTTTCCAAGCTCTGGAAACATCTCAGATAAGCTTCTATCCAACTGGAGAACTACGGGAATCAGCATGTTGATAAGGTTCAATAAGGTTCAATCAGCATGTTGCTAAGGTCTAGGTTGCTGGAATATCCCAGCTCCTGTAAGAGTTTGAATTATGTGTGTTGTTCATGCATGGCCTTTTGTTATACACACACCTATGTGGATGTCCAGATGTCCAGGAGTGTGACCAGTGGCACAAACAGTGGGTGATTTTGTGAGTTTAAGGTAACACCCCCCAAAATACCTTTGAAATATTTCTCATTTCCAGCCACAAAGGGTTCGGACTATGGCATAGATACTGTACATTGTATTTTTCTCCAGCCATAGGCTCTATGCATGAAGAGGACTAAATGGAGTTAATAAGAGACAGCTGAGCTGATAGAGCACTGGACTAGGATTGAAGATGTTGAATCCCTACTCAGCGACAAAGCTCAGTAGATGACCTTGGGCTGGTCACTTTCTCTCAGGGTTCGCAGAATCTTAGGAAGGGGCCTATAAAGCCATTGAGTCCAACCCTCTGCTCCATGAAGGAACACAAATCAAAGGAGATCTGCCAGGTGAGAATAAAGTCGGGGAGGAAGAATATGCATACTACCTCTAGTTCTTGGGAGGAAAAGCGTATTGTATTTTTCTCCAGCCACAGGCTCTATGCATGAAGAGGACTAAATAAAGTTAGTAAGAGACAGCTGAGCTGATAGAGCGCTGGCCTATGGTTGAAGATATTGAATCTCTACTCAGTGACAAAGCTTCTTAGATGACCTTGGGTCACTTTCTTTCAGACTTTCAGGGTTCACAGAATCATAAAGTTTGGAAGGAGCCTATAAAGCCATTGAATCCTGAGAATAAAGTCGGGGAGGAAGAATATGCATACTACCTCTAGTTCTTGGGAGGAAAAGCGTAATATAAATGTGAGAAAACCTAGACAGCATCTTAAAAAGCAGAGACCTCACTTTGCCAACAAAGGTCCGCATAGTCAAAGCTATGGTTTGTCCAGTAGAGATAAATGTCTACTCAGTGACAAAGCTTCTTAGATGACCTTGGGTCACTTTCTTTCAGACTTTCAGGGTTCACAGAATCATAAAGTTTGGAAGGAGCCTATAAAGCCATTGAATCCAACCCTCTGCTCCATGAAGGAATACAAATCAAATACAAACAAAGTCTGGGAGGAAGAACATCCACACTGCCTCTAGTTCTTGGGAGGAAAAGCTTAATATAAATGTGAGAAAACCTAGACAGCATCTTAAAAAGCAGAGACGTCATCTTGCTAGCAAAGGTCCGCATCGTCAAAGCTATGGTTTTTCCTATAGCGATGTATGGAAGTGAGAGCTGGAGCATAAAGAAGGCTGACCGCCCAGGAATTGATGCTTTTGAATTGTGGTGCTGGAGGAGGCTCTTGAGAGTCCCCTGGACTGCAAGGAGAACAAACCTATCCATTTTGAAGGAAATCAACCCTGAGTGCTCAGTGGAAGGACAGATCCTGAAGCTGAGGCTCCAATACTTTGGCCATCTCATGAGAAGAGAAGAATCTTTGGAAAAGACCTTGATGTTGGGAAAGTGTGAAGGCAAGAGGAGAAGGGGACGAGAGAGGATGAGATGGTTGGATAATGTCATGGAAGCGACCAACATGAATTTGACCCAGCTCCGGGAGGCAGTAGAAGACAGGAAGACCTAACGTGCTCTGGTCCATGGGGTCACAAAGAGTTGGACACGACTTAACGACTAAACAACAACAAATGTGAGAAGCAAATAAATAATGCACATGCCTAATTGACGCCACACTTACTGTGCTCTCCGGTATGTAAATGTTGAGATACAAGCAGTCTTCACTGACAGATGAAGGACTGGATTCACCGTCTCCAGGCTGCCAGCAACTAGCCCTAAAAAACAATAACATGAATGAGCTGTTTTATATCTGCGGCAAGAGGAGAAGGGGACGAGAGAGGATGAGATGGTTGGATAATGTCATGGAAGCGACCAACATGAATTTGACCCAGCTCCGGGAGGCAGTAGAAGACAGGAAGACCTAACGTGCTCTGGTCCATGGGGTCACAAAGAGTTGGACACGACTTAACGACTAAACAACAACAAATGTGAGAAGCAAATAAATAATGCACATGCCTAATTGACGCCACACTTACTGTGCTCTCCGGTATGTAAATGTTGAGATACAAGCAGTCTTCACTGACAGATGAAGGACTGGGTTCATCGTCTCCGGGCTGCCAGCAACTAGCCCTAAAAAATAATAATAACATGAATGAGCTGTTTTATATCTGCTGGTTTGCTTGCTTGTTTTAATCGAATGTTAGTGAAGAGCCAGGCTTGGTAGGAGTTAAAGAGGCCAAGTGTTCAGCCATTTCTACTCATCTGGAAAGCTGAGTCAAAAATGTAAGGGGGGGGGTTTCCAGTCAGTGTATGTGACTAGTGTATGGATCATAATCTGAGGATACAACTAGACAGGCACTGAGAAGACACACCCCCGGGCCCCTTTCGAATATTTGGTAGCCACTGGTGCCAAATGCCCAAAAGCGAATTTAGACAATTAATGACCTAGATAATTGTTGCATGTAAACATTTTCCCACAAGAAACGTTTACCACACAATACACAATTAAACTGCAGGATTCACTAACACAGGACATTGTGATGGTTGCCAAGCTGAGGACTTTAAAAGAAAATTGGATACATTCATGTAGGTTATTAGCCAATTAGGATGGTTATTATCACCTCCAATAACAACGGCAGTATATCTATATAATTTCATAGGAAACACAAAGGCTGAAATTCTGTCAAACAGTTACACAAAAGATGTAACTTTTGGAAGAGAGTCATCATAAGTTAAGAAGCCTCTGTAGACATTATCCGCTGCAGGCTGAGTTGTGCAATTCAGCATGCAATAGATATAAGGTCTACTGAGATTTCTGAACTTGACGCAATTGGCTTCCAAAAGTTACATGTTTTGCGTAACTGTAGAACAGGATTTGGGGCAGAGGGAGAAACTGCACTTTTGTTGTGATGGTGCGTTTTCCATGGGTATGTCCGCTGTGTGAACAGAAGTTTGGATGAAATCTTTTTATTTGGTGCGATCTTGCCTGGCATTTCTGAGGAATGTCCTATGCCTTTATGGTTTCACTGGAAGAGTTCAGAAGACTAGCAGTCACTTGAAAAGTAGGGCACCATTGGGAAAGGGTGTCGTTCACATCAGCTATGCAAAGACTAGAAAGATATAGCCTTTTTTTTTTCTGTTGACGCAAGGGGGAGGAAATACAGAAGAGACAAGGCTGAGGTATTTAACGGAGCAACACTTTGTCTGTTCTAAGCTATGTGCTGTTTTGCACCTGGATAAACAAGTGGCACCTTTTGTGGTAAACTACAAGTCTGATGTGGTTAAGTCCTCTAAACCTACACAGTTCAGGGGGATGAGAAATTAGGTCACTGAAGGATAGGCTTCTTCCTCAGTCATCCAGTGCTCAACTGTGCAGGGCGGGCAGGGCTGCGTGGGGTAGATGATCACTGTGTTTTCAGAACACCCTAAAGCAATGGCTCCCAACCTTGGGTCTCCAGATGTTCCTGGATTAAGACTCCCAGGAGCCTTTACTGCTAGTGGTGCTGGGCAGCATTTCTGGAAGCTGTCATCCAAGAACATCTGGACACCCAAGGTTGAGAAACACTGCCTCAACAGAACAGCTCTGAAATGCCATCCTCTGAGGGTGCATTTCTATGATTGCCCAAACAGTAATTTCCCCAAGCTCTGGGAGACTTTTATCAGGGGTTCAGAGACCAAGGATCCTCCTAGCCATCACCTCCACGTTCCTGCCTGTGGCTACGAAAAGTACATCTCTTGGTACTGTGGAAGATCAGATACTAGGAGCAACCTGAAAGCATTCTTTATCTTGTTACTGTAGAAGGGGGAACCGTGTTAGTCTACGCAAGCGTTATAGGTGAAAGCAAAATAGAAATAAAAAGTTTTTTTTAAATGTGGTAGCACCTTAAGGACTAGCTTTTATGTTATCTGATGTGAGCTTTCGTGGAGACGTCCACTTCATTAGACATTTATTTGGCTGTATTCTGTGAAATTTCACTGCAGAACTGAACTGATCCACACTGGTCCCCTTAACCTTCATTTTCCCATAGAAGGCATCAGCAAGATCAATGTGAATGTTGCAGGAGAAATCTGCTCCCAATAGAAGGGACATCCCCAATCATTGGTGCGATAGGTCACAAAATAAAACATACCTATTGATGCCCTGCTCTTAGGAATGCTAGTTTTGAACTTAAAGATTTTAAAATGTTTTCAAATTGTTTTTTTAAAAAAACTAAAAAAATCTTAATATGTTTTTAATTGCTTTGTCATTGTGATATTTATACCGTGATTCAAAATCTGTTCTTTTATCTGCTGTGAGTCACCTTGGATCTCTGAGTGGCAGAAAGATGGCATATCAATAACATAAATAAATAAAAGACATTCTGTGGCTGATATCCAAGTATTTCAGAAAGGATATGAAAGAACCCAAGTTAATTTCTAACTGTAGATCTTGCAGGATCTGGGCGGCTTGGAAAACCATCTTAGGGTTTTCTACAGATGACATGTCAGGCTAATAGGTGCATCATCAAGATGAAAAAACATCAGTCAGTATGTCTTAACTCTTTACGTCAGCCAGGAGCAGGACCTAAACCCATTTGGTTTCCTCTACTAACAAACTAGGAAGGTGACAGGCACATATGAACCACACGTGACCTCCTTTTTCAGTGGCCAGCTGCTCCCCCCCCCATGCCTGCCTGTCTGCCTGTCTTTCTTTTAAAAATTTCTTAAAGATTTTCAGGAAGGGTGCAGAAAATAGCAAGTCATGATGTGGGAGATAAATTAAGGGATCTTGATCAAGTACCAAAAGATGGGTCTTGGGATCTTATGCGAAAAGATCAAGGTTCTGTTTGCAGATTCTGTGCATGTTGATGGTCAGATTCCAAAGGATCTCCTGTATGGAGAATTACTGCAGGAAAATCGCCCCAGAGGGAGACCACAGCTGCGATACAAGGATATCTGCAAGCAGGATCTGAAGTCCTTGGGAATGGACCTCAACAGATGGGAAACCTTGAGACCTGAGCGTTTAGACTGGAGGCAGACGGTGCATCATGGCCTCTCCCAATTTGAAGAGACCCTGGTTCAGCAGGCTGAGGCAAAGAGGCAGTCCCGAAACCAGCAAAATCAGGGAGCTGGACGGGGAACAGATTATATTTGTCTTCAGCGTGGAAGGGATGGTCACTCTTGAGTTGGCCTTCTCAGCCACACTAGACGCTGTTCCAAGTCCTCCATACAGAGCACACTACCCTAGTCTCTTGGGAATGAAGGATGCCTAATCTAACCTAACATCTTCTTACCGAATTGTAGTGGCGTTCCAGGATCCTGCCCAGGAGAAAGCCTGAGGTGGACGGAACCGGTTCTCTGCCACTGGAGGCGTCGCATAAGGAATCCCAAGGAACTGGCTGATTCTCTTCCAGCTGGAACCCACTTGAATGGCTAGAGATGAGCCAATCAGAGTTCCTTGGGAAGAGATGAAGACAGAGGGGGCATCGTTGGTCCCAGCTATAGGCAGGAAGGCATCTGGAGAAAGAGAGAAGGGAGAATAAATTAAAGCCTTCAAGAAGAATTTGTAGTCCTGGTTAACTTAAAGGTGTTTTTTTTTTAAGCAAGAGCAATTTTCATCAGGGATTTCCAGAAAGCTAGTAAGAGAATTGTGAAATCAGGCTTTCACAGACTTCCTCATAAACCCAATTATGCACCAAGTGTCCTCACAACAATTACAGGGGAGCCCCCTAAGAAAGTGCTTTGAGATTGTTCCATTTTTTCTTGAAGAGCCTTATAACACAGTGGCTAAACTGCAGTACTGCAGCTAAAACTCTGCTCATGACCTGGAGTTCAATCCCAAGTAGCTGGCTCAAGGTTCACTCAGCCTTCCATCCTTCCAAGGTCAGTAAATTGAGTACCCAGTTTGCTGGGGGGGGGGGAAACGTAATGCATAATTGAATTGTTAACTGCCCAGAGAGTGCTTTAAGCATGATGAGGTGGTATATATATAGCTTCACGCTTTTTTCCTTCTGACTTTATGTAGGTGCAGAGGTTGGGGTGGTTCCCAATCCACAACCCGCCCTCAAATCTCCTGTTGGCACTCCAGTTGCTACCTCAAGCTGCTTCAGCTGTATCTGATACAACTCTGGATAGAAAAACAGGGAAAGGGGCAGGTTTTAGCAATGTGCTCGCCAGTTGCTGATCCCCATCATGTGCTTATTCCTAGTAAATGGGTTAATGGTATAACAGAAAGGGTAATGGAAATCACCAGTTGTTGTCCTTGTGAAAAGTTCCTCTCCCAAATTTTGTAGACCAAACTGGACACAAAAATGAGATTTCTTTTGTTACCACCCTAAATGCTACCCACCTCATAAAGAGATGTGTCATCATATTGCTACTGTCAGCAAGCTTTTCGCCCGGCCTCGTGTCACCTGGGCTTCCTCACCTGGGGTTGCCTCATTTTTATAAGACTGCCCTCAATCACAAAAGCTTATTTTCTGCCACATACTCTATGGAGAAAGAAGACAAAACCCATCTCTGCTAACCCAGCGGCCACGTACTTACCCTGCTTGCGATAGATGTACGTAGCCGGCTCCTTGAGCCCAAGTCGACAATGATGGCCTTGGAGATCAAGTGTGCAGATCTGTGTTTCTGGGTAGAACAGACACCGTACGGATGTCGGTCGCACTTCAAGGGTTGTCGTCAAGCATAATTTTTCCTTCGAACAAACTAAGATGGAGGAGAGAAAAAGTTTGAATGGGCTGGAAAACAGAGAGACAGGCAGATAGAAAATATTCCATCTACTTTCCATCTTTTGTGGGGAAATCTCACCACAGAAAATGTACAGGAGGCCTTGAAATTGGGCAACTTAGTGGCCTTTTATACACACACAGCCACAGAAATAAAAGGAAAGTGGATTATTCCATCCTTCTAGAAGACCTGTTTCTAACCAGAGGGAAGTAAAAAAAAAACCATGCAGACTGAATTAAAGGCGTCTTCTCACCTGAGAGGCAAAAGTCTCGGATGTTGGCAAAGTCGCTTGAGGTATCTCTGCTGACATGCATAATATCAAATTGTGAAATGGAGGGATCGATAAGGGTAGCAGCTCCATCGACACGCTTCCATTTATCCAAAGTCACTAAAATCCAAAAAGTGTGGATATTTAATAGAAGAATTTCAGAAAATATTCTAAGACACATATCCCAGTTGGATATATACTGTATTCAGACAATAATTTAGATTGCAACTTTATTCACAGTTATCTAGAAACAAACCTCATTGAAGTCAGTGGGCGGACTCCTGCTGGCATTCACACGAGGCTTGCGTAACTAGATGCAGCTAATTATGGGTAATTGGCTAGTTGTCAGAGCACATCTCAGTTGCAAGATCCAGTGTATGACCGGGCACCTGCCCCAAACGCACACTTGCAACCTCATCAATTAACCACAATTAGCCGAGGTAAGTTATGAAAACCTTGTACAATCACCAACAGGACCAGTTTAGCCACCAATCATGTTTACAAAACAGTGCTTCCTGGGAGGGGCACTGAATATCAACAAGGGTCTTAAAGGTCATTTCTACATCAAAATATTTGTCATATAGTCCCACTCTTAGGTCTAAGGAAGCTCACGTTAAAATACAGCACTTCATCTTTAGGGTGCCTCACCATTTTTGCCTTCTTTATTTTTTACTTTTATTTTGTTTTTGCCCGACATTTTAAAACTGCAACTGCATCTCAGTAACAAACATTTCTACACACTGAAACTGAATTACTAAGTCTCTCAGAACATAATGATGAAAATGGTAGGTCTACCTTCAGACATGAAAACTGCAAATGACTAGTTATTGTCTCAAAGAGAGGGGTGCAAGATTAGCCTGGGTCCATTCCATTGTAAACCAACACATCCAGGTCACCTTGCTGGTTTTTGAAGACATTTCTGTTAGGATAAGGTTCCACTCGTACCTATTTTAACCGACAACTAATCTCAGCTAGTTGTGAAAACTATTGCACCCAACACAACACAACACAACAGAGAACTTCTATGGATGAAAGAAGGAGACTTTCAATAACATCTACTTCTGCTTCATTGACTATGCAAAAGCCTTTGACTGTGTGGACCACAGCAAACTATGGCAAATCCTTAAAGAAATGGGAGTGCCTGACCACCTTACCTACCTAAACGTGGGACAGGAAGCAACAGTTGCCAATTTTTCCAGTTGTTTTAATAATAATCATATAATTTATTGTCATTGTAAGTATATACACAGTATACCATACAACGAAATTCACATTTTAGTCTGCAGTGTCTCTCATGTTCTTTGATTCTGGTGTGGATGCTGCATTTTGTGGTCCCAATATACCCCTTTCCATAAGACGCACCAATTTTTTAGGAGAAGAAAAAAGGAAAATATAATCTGTTTTCTTTGCTCCATAAGACACACAGACTTTCCACCCCCCTGTTTTGTGGGAAAAAAGTGTGTCTTATGGTGCGAAAAATACGGTATACCTGGCCACAACTGCTGGTATACTCCTGCAGTGGTGAGGGGGTCCCCTTTCTCCCCATAACATTTGTTGTATTTTTATGGTGGGCCTGAATACTGTTTGTAGGTTGTTTTTTCAAAAGTTTCCCCATGCAGTCCGTGACCCCTTTGAAAATACTACTCTGAGAAGGTTTGCCACAAATTGGAGTTGACTTGACAGCACACTATTATTATTGTCTCTAACCTAAGAATTTCTGTCTGCTTTTCTGGCTGGAGAACTGCATGGCAAAATCTAGAGACATAAGTCTGTATTTGGTTGTGAGAATTGAACGTAATATCCTTCATCTCTACTGCAATCTAATTTATCCTGACTTTCCTTTTTTAAACAAAGTGAGGATTTTTTTATGATTATCATCTTCCATTATAAGTATTATTTATGCTCTGCATAAGTAATATTTTCATGCTCCAGTTGATAACCTTTCATAGACAATCTCTACTTCCCTGTACACTTCAGGGACAAATTAAATCTTCAGTAACAAAACGGTCGAATTCAATATCTCTGCAAAGCCTCAAACAAAATTGTTCAGTATTTAGCACATTGTGTCTCAGAATTTGCCCTGTCCTTACCAAATGAATTAGCATTCCACAATTCATTTTTATCCCTATCACCAAATATAAAACTTTAATTGGAATGGAAACATTCCAGTTTGCCTGTGGAAAACACAGTTTTATCATTCAGACCTGATACTGATCCAAGGCTACTTGTTGGTGTCATATATCGGTTCTGTGGCATTTCTATTTTATTTCCCATTGAAATCAGATGGCACGCCCACAAGAATTCAGTGGTAATGCTTTGCCCGGATTGTACCACTTTAGGCTAGAGAGAGGCCTGTCGCTTGTCCGAAGCCTAGAAAAAGCAGCCCAATAAAGGGAGAGGCCAGACGAAACACTAATTCCAACCATTCTCATCTCCAACAAGGAGTTATGGGTTTGTGCTTTATCTATTTTTTGTTGAGCTCAAATGTGCAACTCTCCTCCCCTACCCCTGCAGCCAGAATTGGCACTGTCCACTTCCTCACATTTAATGCTGCTGATTGTATTGACCGGTTCTAACATGGAGTGAAAGAGAGCAGGTGTGTCAAGTCTACACAGCTTCGATGTGACTGGCCGATTCCTTCATCCCATGCAGACCAGACTCTAGCCATCGTAGGCTCAATATGCTAGTCCCTTTCATTCCATAATTATAGATATCTACAGCCAACCCATTCTGTAACTTTTATTGTTAAATTATAGGCATCTGATAAAGGATGTTTCCTGCTTTCCAGATGTTCTTCTCTGGAATGTGGGCAGAGTAGCAAGAGCAAGTTTCTGACGAGTGCTTAGAATGGGGGTGAAGGTTAAAAAAACAGCTGGTAGTGGGAGAAACTGCTGGAATATCTCTACCAGGCCATCAGTTAGGCTGGCTTCCCGCGTAGCCCTTCTGATGAAGAGCTAAAGCTGTATTGCTCTCTGGGATTGGGTTTTCTTGTTTTGTTTTAACACGTTGTTCGAGAATGTCTGGGCCTGTTTTTAAATATCACTTAAGATCTGCCCTGCTTCTGTTTTTAGTCTGTTTTAAAGACTGTCCGCCCATTGCAGATCACTTTCGGAGCCCTGGTGGGCAGAGAAGCAATAAAGAAATGTATAGACTAAAAATCTAGTACAGAACCGGGGGAAAAAACCAACCCTCACCCAGCTGTTTTCCAAATTCCCACTGCTCTGAAATGTAGTTTCCCATGCAACACACAACTGGGACCATATACAGTTCCATAAACTAAACTAAAATGAAATAAAATAAAACAAAACAATAAAGCCAGGGATTGGAGAATCTACATGTGCATTTCCTTCTAGATGGGAGGCAACTGCATTCATGCCCATGTGAGAGAGCGCTGTATTCTCACAGAAGGAGAAAAATACATCAGGGATCACATTTCCACCAGGAATGTGTTATGCACACATGTTTTTGCCAGTTTAAATTGGAGAGGATGGAATACAACATGTGCCATTCCTCTTTCTCCTTAGAAAAAGGAGAAGAAGAAGAAAAGACACCACAACCCTTCCTGTAAAATAACTATAATCATGCCCACGGGACCGCTACTTTTCTGGCCACACAAAGCTGTTATTTCAGAGCACCGAGAAGTTATCCTACGTGAAATGGAAGCCTCCGGCCTTCTTTGGCAGGGCCCGCGATGGCACAGGAGCCTTGAGCGGAGGAGAAAAAAGAGCAAACCAGATGTTTATCTGGATTTTTTTTAAAAATAGGCAGCTTTCTAAATAGAGAAGAGCTTCTCTTTCCCACATGGGTAATTACAAGCCCACGGGTCTTCTGGAAACCATCTCACTTGCTCTCCATCCCCAGGGCACATTTGGGATGGCGCACCTGGTAATCTCACTGGCACAATTTCCAAGTCTATTTCATGAAGCTTCTAAGGAAAGGAAAATTACATTCCAGATCACATGGATCTCTTCCCCACCAGTTCTCTCGCAATAGGAAGCTATCCGGCCTCTGAATATTCGGGTAACCCTGATCAACTCAGGATTCCTTCTCTAATTCTGAATTTTGAAAAGCTACAATCAGAAAAGGAATCTGGAACTAATCACAGACCATTGACCTGCCTCTGTCTGAACCCACAGGAGGTAAGCCTCCACCTTGTGTAGGAAGGAGGCTATGGAACCTGGTTGAAAACAGAAGAAACTAGTTACAACTAACACGGTACCTGTTACTAGTTACAGATTGGGCAATAAACTAGTTGTTTTTGTTGTTTATTTGTTAAGTCGTTAAGTCATGTGCGACCCTTCGTGACCCCATGGACCAGAGCACGCCAGGCCCTCCCGTCTTCCACTGCCTCCCGGAGTTGGGTCAAACTAGTTGTTACAAAGTGCCTTTTTAGAGACATGTTGTGGCATTTTGGCAGGGAGGTTTTCTGCCTTTTTTTTTTAAGGTCTTGAGCGATACAGTGCTCTTATCAATCCTAAGCAGCAAGGGAAGTATATTTTTGTTTACTTTCACCATTTATATTTTTAGATGCATTTCCAAGCTGCAAGTGCCTTTTTCTATCCTGTGGGTAATTGCACCAATAAACACACTAATAACACACAATGCAACAAATCATCACATGCCATTGGAACAAGAAGAATCATAAGGACCACGTACATAGCTATCAAGAAATAATTGATGCAGCAAGTTCCTTTTGAAATATAATTTCTGGGGATGGGTGAGATCACAGGTCTAGGAAGTGTGGGGAGTCCTTGCTGTGAACACCCTATATTTTTTTCAGAACTTACAGAATTCCCTCTCTTAATGGCTTTCAGTGTAGCTTGAGAGATGTCAGCTACCTTGGTCATGACCTGGAGTAGAGCGCTCTCAGAGCAAGGGTGATGAATCCTCAAGGTGTTTCCCTGTGGTGTTGAGGCAGCCAGTCTCAACCGTGGTGAGATTTCTTCACATACCTAAATCTAGCACACTGACCAAGAGATCGGCTGTTGATAAATTTGTTCCGTGCATATCCCACCTCTCATCTAATGAACCCCAAAACATGGCACGTGGCTTTCCTCCACTCTTTACCTTAATCCTTCAAGGCTGAGAAAAGGGGAATTGCTTCAGTGTCACTCAGTAAGTTTCATGGCTTTCCAGTGCAGTGCAGTATCTCCAAGTTCACAAGGGCGATGAAACTGCTCTCGTTTTTAGTCTGAACTTTGCATGAGTTATCCAAGGTGCTTATCCCTACCCTACTTCCCCATCAATCCAGCACCAAATGCCGCATCCCTAACCTCCATTGGGTTTCTTCTTTTCCATCTCTCTTCAGGATGGAAAAGTGAATGCCTTGACCATGATGCCATGCCTAGTCATAATTAGTAGCATCTGTGTACACATATACATCAATTTTGGGGTTGATTCTAGATTTATGAAGGCTGTACTGTCTGCATTTACTCATTTGCAAGAGGAGGCCAACATTTTCTCAAGTCAATACAAAATGGGGGACCAGCCATGTGTAAGATGCAGAGCCTGAAGCTCTTTGATATTTCACTATTTCTTTGCCTGGGTATTTTTCTCATTCCCATAACTTACCATTTCCTTGCTTTCTAGGTAGAGGAACAGGTGGGCAAATTCTGGGAACAGTTGCTATAGGAAAGGAAAGAAAAAAGAACAATAGTTAAAACATTACAAATGCCTGCCTTTGCAAATAGGCTTATGGGATTCTTAAAGGGTGGGAATGATTATGTCCTTTGGCCCTGCAGTTGATTATGAATCTTAACTGCTATAACGAGCTGTGTGGTGTAGTGGGTAGAGTGTTTGTTTAGGATTCTAGAGACCTGGGTCGATCATTTTCAGTAAATAAAAGAGAATTGCACTAACCCTCCTTTTCTTTAAAAAAAACCTTTTAGGAAACTGGGAGCAGATATGGGACCACTTATGGGGTTTCCAGATAGGCAGTTCAGAAAGCATCAAGTACCAGAATGAGGGGAAGTTGGACCTGGCCTCCAGGCCTATGGAGTCATGTCGTCTTTTACATGTCTCTTGTTTCTTTTCCTGGAGTGGATTGTATCAGTGTGATATTGCAATATGCTTCTGAAGTGCTTCTGATCCCATGAGCATTGACAGGGCTTTCTGGTGTGCTGTCCATATGTCGGCCAGGCTTGAGTCCCTTCTAAACGAGTACCCAAAAAGCAGCGACATCTTATGGTCCACCAAGTTCTTCACAGCCCCATGGATGTGTGCAAATAGGAGATTTAGGGAGTTTCTGATGGGCCTCTCCATACAGGACCAATTAGCATTCAGATTGGTCTATCTCATGTCGTGCAGATGTGCCGTAGCTCCCCACCCTGGTTAGGTTCTTCCTATAGTTTAGTAGGGACATGACATAAAGAAGCCTTTGGTTTTACTGGCATGCTCTTACCTAGCCTTAATCCACATCAGCATCTTAGAACTGCAGAGCTGGATGGGACCCTATGGATCATCGAGTCCAGCCCTTCTCAGGGGGGCACAGCAAGGAATCGAACCCCCATCTTCTGGCTCCGCAGCCAGAGGCCTAAACCACTGAGCTATCCAGCACTTGACTCTTTTTGCAATGTTAAACCAAAAGGGGAGAAGCTTTGGACCACACATTCTGGGTCCAATACCCTACTCTCTTACCACTGGTCCTGCTGAATGGAAATGACCGCCACAAACATCTGGAGGGCCAGATGTTCTGTCTCCCCTGCCATTGCTGCCATTCCCTTTCTCTCCCATCCTTTTCAGACTGCAAATTCTTGGTCTCTTTGGGGGTTTTCTTAGTGCTGCTGCTTAAAATGCCACATACAGTAGAGCACAGGATAAAATTAAAGTTTCCATGTTCTATTTGCCGAGGGTGCCCCCCCTTTTATTTTCTTTGAAGAATGGAGAATTAGAGCCTTGGCTGTTGTTTTAACTTCCCTTATAAGACACCCTGATAAACCCCACCCATCCAGACAGGATGCCAATGCGGTTGGTTAATTACGCAGAAGGGAACGGTGTTGCTTCATATAGTTCAGTGGCCAACGCAAAGGCGAAGGAAATATAAACTGTGTTCAGGCTGAAACTTGGAGGACTCTTGAAAGGGCCACCTGCGGGCTAGATTCTAATTAACTGGCCTGAGATATAAAACCCAAAGCCACAAGTTCAGCAGAGTTCAGCTGCAAGACCTGTTTAAGCTCCAGACTGACTTATGCCTTTGGGATTTTAAGCGATGCCAAGGAAACTTTGACCGCCTTTGCTTTAAACCAATAATCACTTACACATGTGCCACAGGACAATACGGAGTAAATAGCTTTGTGAAGGCCAAGCTGGCGGCAGTCTTAAGTCGGGGGAACTGGCAGCTAGATTTCCCGTATCAGAAGACAGCGAGATGTCAATTGTAGAAGGGGGTGTGAGTACATATACGTGCCGTTTAAAGTCCTATTTGAAATTTTTTAACTCAAGCAAGATCAAAATCACGTCTGGCCACAGGCTTAAAACCTAGATCACGGACATGAAAGGATCAAATGCACTGACAGGGTTTGTACCATTTTTTGGATTTGCCTGTTCAGCTGGAATTACAGTTCTTGTTTTTTTGCGGGCTTGCTGTTTATCTTTAAGTTTAAGCGAAACGGGCATACGGTAGAGGAATGAAGGCTGCCCCACCTAATGGCCCCTCAGCTACTGAAAAAGCACATTTCCTGCTGGATTCAAGGAAAGGCCTTTGACAAACATTCTTTTTTTCGGCCTCTTAACAGTGGGGTTAAGGCCTCTTTTTTGTGACTGGTTACCATGACAACCAGCTGTCAAGTTCAGGCTCGGGATTCAAATAGCTGCTTGGCCAGAGCAATGTATAGAGAGGCAGGAGTGGAAAGCCACTCCTTGAGCTTTCACCTACTCAAAAACTCTATTGGGGGCGGTCACCATAGATCGGAAGCAACCGGATGACCTATAACAATGATTCCCAAACTTGGGTAACCCAGGTGTTAATGGACTCCAATTCCCAGAAGGCTATGCTGCCTTGGGAGTCTGGGAGTTGCAGTCCAAGAACAAGGGGTGACATAGATCGGAAGCAACCAGATGACCTATAATAATGCTTCCCAAACTTGGGTAACGCAGGTGTTACTGGGCTGCAGTTCCCAGAAGGCTATGCTGCCCGGGGAGTCTGGGAGTTGCAGTCCAAGAACAACTGGCTTATCCAAAGTTAAGAGTCACTGGGTCACTGGCATGTGGTAACCATGGCTCATATGCCTCCCCCCCCCAGTTGAGTTAAGAGCCACTGGCATGTGGCAAACATGGCTCATATGCCTCCCCCCCCCAGTTGAAGAACCATCTGAAGGGAGGGTGATGTTGATTAAGGCTTTGTAGGTTAGCATTACCTTCCATGCATAGTGGCAATGCTTTTGCTCTCTGCACAGTTGGATGTCATATGAGGGGGCTCTGTGGGGGGGAGCAGACTGGGTCAAAGACTACCTCCCCCTTCAGAAAGGAAGTCAACACAAGAGTCCTTTCATATATCAGCCAAATACATGTACAGGGGGCTATAGCAAGTGACACACTAGCCTCTGCAGCCTCTGTTCATTTCCGTCTCATAGGAGATTGGGTTTGTTCACCTGCATGGTGAACCAGTACAGTCCAGACACAGTTTCATCATGACATCAGGAAATAGGGCACTTCTTCTGAGCAATGGCCCTATGATCTCAGTCCAGTCACTGTCCTGAATTCCTTCTAGAATCACAAGCTGGTCAACTCTACTCACAGGTACCAATGTCCCACCTTCTCCCACCTCCAACACACACACTTCCATGAGAAAATATAGGTATGTTAACTCAGTTACAGGCAAAACATCGGTGGTGCTACTCACTGCCTTTTTGGTACCAGCCAAAAGGATGGGCCATGGATTCGGTCGGAGGAGAGGCACAATCAGAAACCCGCCAATCACCGGCGATTTCCTCACTGCAAGTCTGGATTCCCAAACTGTTCAGAGTCAAGCACACGACCTTGCTGTCTGCAGGGAAAATGCACAGTTACTGTAGTCACTTTATCTGAAGATGCTTGGAAGTGCTTGGTAAATTTAAAAAAAAAACATACACTACAGTCTGCCAAGAAATATGAGAGCTTAAAGAGACGGTCCTGTCAATTATCCTAGACTAATTGTCTCCAATTAGGGTAAGTCCAAGCTATTTTTTCAGCCAGAGGCAATGGACAAGATGCTTCCACACTGCTGCTCTGCATACAGAAGTCAACCTGGATTGATGGTTGAGTCTTAGTTCACCGCTAGTGATAGGATAGCATCCTCGGTTGCACCTGAACAGCAGAAGAATTTGGGGGCTAAGGGTAAATGATGTGGCAAAGTCACGTCTGCCTTGCAGCAAAGATAATTGGATAGAGGGCTTGGGAAGAAGAATCAGGAAGACGGTCCCACTGACCTCTCATGATCTACCATCTCTGGGAGGCACCTCACATAGGGGGGAAGATTTCTATGACATTTCACATCTTCTCTTCAACCTACATTTGAACTCATAAGCAAGTTCAGACATGTTTATAAGTACATAATCTGGTCTTTCTCACCAGATTACTCATAAACATGTTTGAATCCACCCATAAGCTCAAATATAGGTTGTAGAAGAAAATATGACATGTTATACAAATCCTCCCCCTAGATCATCATCATTTTAGAATTGCACAGCTGGAAGGCACCCTATGGACCATCGAGTTCAGCCCTGTAAAAGAGGCACAGTGGGGAACTGAACTCTCAACCAGATGCCTAAACCACTGAGCTATCCAGCAGTTCTATTGCAGCCCAATGGAAATCATATAGCAGTAGAAAAGCATCTTGGAATTTTTTTTTAAGTAGGGAGAGATTAATCAAGTTTGCATTTTGGAAGCCATTCTGCTCCGCAAATTGTTGAAATTTCAAATGAGTTGCACATTTGTTTTGACTTGGAAAGGTGGTAGATTGGTGGGGGAAGAGCGGTCTGTTTTAAAGCTGTAGGGCCTTTTCTTCTAACACTAGTTACAAAGATTTGGATGTAGCTGTGAAAGAGTGAGCCCAATGCACAAGGCGTCAGAGCTACAGAGGAGTAAGACAGGGCTAGCTTCTATTGACGCTCAGAAAGAAGATGGCCCTCCATTGAATAGGGTTGCAGGACTGATTGCACAAAATGACACGAGTATGACGAAGAAGGGATACCTGAGCCTTGGGAAGCACCTAAAAATCCAAAGCCTGAACAACAGGGATCGGCATCACAGAAGCGCTCACAGTCCAAAAACCTGGAGGAAAAGCAACAAATTATTTGAATGCCAAAACTGTGGAGGCTTTTGCAGGATACAGCCTTAGATGATCATGACTTATTTCTCGATGTGAGAAACTATCTTGCCTTTCCTGCAAGGTGGACAGGAAGTAAGGGAGGCTGGAGCGAGACTGAAACAGAGCACACGTAAGTTGTTGCTTTTATGGCCCTGCTCGAAATACGTTCCAGTTTCATTTGTGGGTTTGCCATGCATCTAGAGAGACACAGTGATACAACAGATGCTGAGCCACGAACAGAGAGATTAGCACAGATGATGAGTGACGGGAATGAATGCATGCTGTGTGACTATTTTTATTCTATAAGAGTACTTTGTTATTTTATTTCTTATCAGACAGAGATGGAGATGGCATGGCTCTGTTGATGCTGTCGGACTGCCACTCCCACCCTTGCACAAATAAATCCACTCGGAAAGTGATGGTGTGTTGGGTAAACTGAGATAAAAAATGTGTGTTTACACGAAGCTATGCTTGAAACAAACAAAAATCTTTAAAAACTGAACCGTTGTGAGAGTCGGCTTCTTACCCTTTATGTCTTAAAGCTGGCAAAAAGCATTGCATGTGTTTGTTATATTATTTATTCCTTACTTGTCTGGAGATGGAGCTAATAATACATAGGAAAGGAACAGGGTTAGTGGGTAGCCCTGAAGTAGCTTTCCATAGGCCTTGGACAAGTGTGTGTATGTGTGTGTGTGTGTGTGTGTGTGTGAGAGAGAGAGAGAGAGAGAGAGAGAGAATGGTGAATGGAGTGGAAAGATCTGTTTACAGACCCTTGGTCTTTATCATCCTTGCTCATTCAAGAGACATAAAGATCTTCGTTGCCTCAAGTGAAGCCAAAAGGCTATACATGGAAAACTGAACAGGAAGGAAACGTACCCATTGGACAGAGTTTTCCCGGACACGTCCATCTTGTTCCTCACAGAGATGCTTGACATTTTACGGAAAGGCAAGCGAGTGTAAAAATTCTTCACGCTCCCTTCCAGAGACACTGCAAAACAAACAACAGAGCGAAAACTCTCAATCCTAAGGCTACTCCATATCCAAGGGAGCCTTCAAGTGGAGACTTGCACGACAGTGGAAATATGGAAGCCATACCCTTGCCCTTACAAGGGTAAGATGGGAAGCCCCGGACCGATCAGGAAGAGTTTGTGCTGCGGCCGTTCTTTCCTATGGCCAGGTAGGATAGCCTAGCCAATATTTCTCTCAACTAGATGTAACAGGGAGTGAAGCTTCCCTGCAATTAAGCCCTGCCCACTTCCAATGGGATTTCCTCAGAGGTATGTTCCTCAGCAATTCCACTTGCCATTTAGGCCCTTGTTTACTAGTCACAGAACAAAGCACTCAAGAAATACAAGTACAGAAAATCAAGTGGCATGATACGTGTGTGTGTCTTTGGTGCCATCAAGTCGGAACCAACTTATAACAACCTTAATAAAACTCTCAAGGTAAACGAGGTATTTAAGGAGCAGTTTTACTAGTTAGGAGAGAAACACTTCCCCCTGCTTACCCTTCTTTTGATACAAAAGCTGGGGATTCTGAGGTAACACAATGTTACAGTTGTCTAGGAGGCTGTTTGTGGTATTGTCACAGACTTGAGCCGCCGGATACAGGGTGCAAGGGAAGAACATGGACGTTGTGGCATTCGGGATGTCAACCATCTGGCAAAAGTCATCTTCTGAGCAACCTGGAGAAAATAAGAGTCACCTGAGTATAGCCATTCATTTAGAATCATAGAAGAGTGAAGTTGGAAGGGGGCTATAAGGCCATCAAGCACAACCCCCTGCTCAAGGCAGGAATACAAGTCAAAGGATATCTGCCAGGTGGTTGTCTAAGTTTCTCTTTAATGCCTCCAGTGTTGGAGCGCTCACCACCTCTTCAGGTCATTGGTTCTCTTACTGCTCTAACAGTTAGGAAGTTTTTTGTGATATTCAGGAAACTTGAGCCCATTACCATGTGTTCTGAACTTTGGGATGATGGAGAACAGATCCTGCCCTTCCTCTGTACGACAACCTTCCAAGTATTTGAAAAGTGTTATCCTTAGAGATGGGGGTTTCGTATACAAATACCCCCCCACAGGTGGACATAACGAGGGTCCGGCCCCCTGGGGCCAGACTGTCCACTCAGCCGTCTGCTGCTGCCACAGGCTCCCCGCTCCCTCCAATTGCTCTGGGGTTCACGGTTGACTAGCTACTTGTCAGCCTGGCAGGGAGGCTTGTCTTCCCTCCTTCTGCCAGGAATGGCTAGTCAACCGTGAGCTCTGGAGCAATTGGAAGGGAGCGTAGACCCCGCAGCAGCAGCGGACAGGTGAGTGGATGGTCTGGACCCTCGTTATGTCCAGCTATGCAGGGGTATTTATATTCGTATATGAATAACTCCATCTCTAGTTATCCTATCTCCCCTCAGTCTTCTTTTCTCAAGGCTAAACCTGCCCATTTCTTTCAGTCTTTCCTCATAAAGCTTGTTTTCCAGCCCCCATGATCATCCTTGTTGCTCTCCTCTAAACTTGTTCCAATTTCAGTACTTGATAATACCAGGGATATGTCGTGAACAGTACTGGTAGAATGAGCCGCAATTTCAGTACTTGATAATACCAGGGACATGTCGTGAACAGTACTGGTAGAATGAGCCATACTAGTAAGCAGTAATATTAATCAGTAGCACTAGTATTAGTACTAATAAGGCTAAATTACTACTCATAAGTGGCAGGCAGAGGAAATCTAAATAAATATAGAATTCGTCACCCAATTAGTTGTTTTAACAATACACCTAACGCTTTTGAGATCTATCATTCAGATTGTAATTGTTAAATTGTCTCTCTAATAACTTATCCCCGAATTTTCAAAACCACTGCACAAATTCTAATATTGCAGTGAAACATGCCAGTACTGATGATGTAGTCCCAAGCAACTGGAGGGCACCACGCTCAGTGAGGTTGCCACATTTATCCTGTCTTCACATGTTCCACTTTTCTGACCAACTCCCTCCCTTTTCCACACCATTGATTCTTGCTCCCACCTTGATGTAGTAGATCGCACATTTTACACTCTCTTATTGAAATGGGGAGTGAGGGAGAAGCAATCAAATTGTATGAAAACTAACTTGGTTGGCCTTAGCTCCCAATGAAACAACTTGGCTGTTTGTCCTGTCTTACTGATTTCAGTGGGAACAACATAGAAAATATGTATACCAGCCCCAGGCTGGCATCGGCCTGAGTTGTAACCCATGTGAGAAAGAAAACATTTTGGCTGTAACAGATCCAGGCCAGCTTAGTTTGTTTTGGGAGCTAGACTTTCTGTTTGATATGTTTTGGGAGCTACTGTGAGATTTCAGATCCAGTGACCGAGACCTAGATAGTGAATCCCACCAAAGCCTGAGTTTCAGGATCAAACCCTGATCCTGTTAAGTCTCCTCTCAAACCATTCCGGTCCCCCTCAAGTTGCCTCCGGAACCTTTTAAGAGCCTTTAGAATGGAAGACACCTGGCTAGACAACAGTACCTGTGAAGGGGATCTAGGTGTCTTGATAGACCACAAACTGAACATGAGCCAGCAGTGTGATGCGGCTGCCAAGAAAGCCAATGTGATTCTTGGTTGCATCAATAGGAGTATAGTGTCTAGATCAAGGGAAGTGATAGTACCACTCTGTTCTGCTTTGGTCGGACCTCACCTGGAGTATTGTGTCCAGTTCTGGGGGCACCTCAATTCAAGAAGGATGTTGACAACCTGGAACGTGTCCGGACGAAGGTGACCAAAATGGTCAAAGGTCTGGAAGCCATGTCCTATGAGGAGTGGCTTAGGGAGCTGGGAACGATTAGCCTTACAAAAAGAAGGTTAAGAGGGGACATGATAGCCATGTTTGAATATTTGAAGGGATGACATGCTAAGGAAGACACTAGGACAAGGAGCAATGGTTTCAAACTACAGGAAAAGAGATTGCATCTAAACATTAGGAAGAATTTCTTGACCGTTGGAGCTGGTCAGCCATGGAATAGGCTGCCTCGGAGTGTGGTGGAGTCTCCTTCTTCGGAGGTTTTTAAGCAGAGGCTGAATGGTCATCTGTTGGGAGTACTTTGGTGGTGTTCCTGCATGGCAGGGGGTTGGACTGGATGGCCCCGGTGGTCTCCTCCAACTCTGTAATTCCCTGGTTCTATAAGTTTGTGCTCTTAGCCTAGATGCAATCAACAATCATCTTCTCTTCCTCAACTAGCAAAACCTCTCCTCCCTTTAGTAAAGGTAAAGGTTCCCCTTGACAATTTTTGTCCAGTCGTGTTCGACTCTAGGGGGCGGTGCTCATCCCCGTTTCCAAGCCACAGAGCCAGCGTTTGTCCGAAGACAATCTTCCGTGGTCACATGGCCAGTGCGACTTAGACCCGGAACGCTGTTACCTTCCCACCGAGGTGTCGGTCATCTGTTGGGAGTACTTTGATGGTGTTCCTGCATGGCAGGGGGTTGGACTGGATGGCCCCGGTAGTCTCCTCCAACTCTGTGATTCTCTGGTTCTATAGGTTTGTGCTCTTAGCCTAGATACAATCAACAATCATCTTCTCTTCCTCAAATAGCAAAACCTCTCCTCCCTTTAGCACCAGCTATTTCAAAGCATTGGAAAGCATCCTGAGGCTTTCCCTCCTAGTAAGAGTGCAAATTTCTTAATGAAAATGGGGCTGATTTGCTGGGCCTACATTTTAATCTACTGCAAACTGATATGACGTGACTGAAAAATTCTAAAATTTTCTGAACACCAGATTCATGAGAAGTTCTCACACAGCTTTTAAGCGTGCATTTATCTCTTGCTCCATGAATGGAATGTTGCAAGCATTCTACAAGGATTAAGGCATGTCTAGGGCTTTGACTAATTAATACCATGAACATTTCCCCATGAGATTCTGAAGTTTCTTACGTGCAAAACACCAGAGGCGGGCCTCTTCAGCTGAGAATCTAGCCTTGAAAAGCCAGTATTCTTGAGATGGTACAGGACGATTTGGGTCAATCAGAATCTGAGTGCTCTCCAGTGGAGAAAAGAGTTGCGGTGTGGATGCTGATCAAGAAAGAGAGGAGAAACAGACACAAAACTTTCATTGATCTTTTTTTATATATTAAAAAAAATCTGTGATTAAAAAAACACCTGTATACTGCTATTCCAAATTCCATAAACAGGGTTGCTAACATTGATAAACCTTAGAAGTTTCCCTCACCCTAGGAAAAAAAGACACAATCAAAAGCACATGTCTCAAATTAGTGGGAAAAAACTAGGATCCCAAGTTTACTCCTGGCAATGCAGACCTTGAGCACGTTGCAAACAAAGCTAATGTATTAGTATTTCCTTTTGGGGGGGGGGAGTTTTCATCGTTCTTAAGTCATAATGGCTAGGCAAAAATAACATTGTACTAATTGTCAGTAGTTTGTTACTAATACAGTATGTTATGTCCTGATCGAGTGGGTTTAGAAAAAGCACACACTTTAAAATACATGAGGGCAAAGTGGTTTAAAATTCCCCAAAATGAGCCCCCTTCCCAAAATAAAAAGTAAAGATTACTTGTTAAAAATGAAAACAACAAATCACACATAAGTCACAACATCAGTTTTAAAACATTACTTCCATGCTTTGCGGTCATATGACATTTTATTCATCCGTCTGAAATGGAAATCTATAACAACCCAATACAGCAAGAAAGAGATAGAATGATCCAAGGGGGTCAAAGGCCTCATGAAGAGGGAGATTTTTGCCACTTTGCAACTAATCTCTGAGGGTAAATTCCAGATTAATGACAATCTAGGGTGAGGGTAGATGGTAGTGTTATGTTAGGGCCCGGGTCAACCACATCTTCTCTTACTAAAACTGAGACCAGTGTGAGGGATTCTTGTGATGACACTGCAGTGGGATCAAGCAAGAATTAGGAGAGGGGTCAGATCTCCTTCCGAACTAACTTTTTCTAAAGAGAGAGATAGGCATGTTCTGGGCAATCGGGCCCAGGATTTAGAGAAACAAGGCGACTGAGAATCAGAGCCCTGACACACCCTGGGGATGGGTGGAATAGAGTGCCTAAGAGTTACAACCATCTCAGGAAGAAGAACCAAACTTTCTTCTCCAGCAGTCTTGCTCACCACGAATTTTTCTTGCCCTGAACTGGAGATCCGGAGAAGGGTGCAAGTCTCCGGGATTCTGGCCAGAGTCCCCAAATCTTAGATCGAAAAATGATTGTGACTAAAAGTCTGGGGTGCTCTTATCAGAGAGTAAAGGGGAGCTTATTTCTGAGTACTACGCCAAACCGTCAAAAGAGGGACTGCCAGTTAAAATGAACAGTCCTGTGGCATTGTTTAAGGCAAAAGCAAAGCAATGTATTGCCCCCTATTGAGTTAGGTATCCGTTTTACTGACCTCAGAAGGATGGAAGGCTGAGTCAACCTTGAGCTGGCTACCTCACACTGTTGGGATTGAACTCAGCTCATGAGCAGATTCCTGACTGCAGTACTGCAGTTTAACCACTTATTCCACCAGGTATCATTGTTGAATGGAATCTGAGCAAAGCACAAAGGCCTGGTGGAATCTCTAAGAAGAAATCCTGACCTCTAACAAAGAGCCTGGCTCCAGCCACTTACCTTAAGAGTTGGCCCACCTCTACCAGAAAGGATTTTACAACATAAACAAAGTGACAACCAGTGTTATGAGACTTCAGTATGAAGAGAGGTGCTAAGAGCCTATGAAGGAATTTAGGAATGCGTGAAACGTTTGATAGAAGAACAGTAGACAGTTTATCTGACTTTCCACCAGGAAAAAACAAAGCATCAAGGTTATGGTTATATGTTATCCCTAAAAGCAATATATTTTACCACACATTTATTTTCTGTGGATATGCACACACCTGGTAGCACGGGGTTTGTTTCTGTCAGAGGAACACCAGTGTCACACACCTCAGATCTTGTTCGAGTAATCATGTCGGACTCTAGAAGGCAATCAAAACTAAATTGAAAATACAGGACATTATTGCTGGTGCTATTTTTGGTTAAAACACAAACTCATGGAGAGCCCAGACTGTACATGGAATGGTAGGGAGGGGGAATAGAAAACCAAGAGAGATGAGGAATAGAGTAAGTATATCCTGGAAAATGGCAAGCTTGGAGCTCTAGTGTGACAGTCACATGACATAGAGCAGTGGTTCCCGAACTAGGATCTCCAGAGGATCTCCTACTTTATGTGGTTGGCATCTGGACTGTAGAAGAAGCAAGAAAAACATCGTTGCTAGTCCGCCTCCACCCACTAGGGGGAGATGTATTTCTGTGGGGCGGATCTTGTTGGTATTCAGGAAACATGATGTCTTTACAGGTACAGAACACCACGTGAGCTGCAGATTGTCCTGTTCCAAGCAAGAGGGGATTTTTTTTGCTTGGAATACGTGGGTACTGAATATTCGCTTATCATGTGCTCATCATGTTATTACACACACAGTTAAAAGAAATAGGACTCCAAACTCTAGTCATTCTTTCCTGTTTATACGTACATGTCAATTACACATATACATTTTACATGAATCTTCACACTCTTATTGCCTTATTTTTTGCCTGTGCATAATAATAATAATAATAATAATAATAATAATAATAATAATAATAATAATAATAATAATAATAATAATAATAATAATGCTTTTTTCCTTTCATGTAGATGAGGATTGTGTACAGAAGCAGTATTAGTGTCACAGAACAGCAATCATAATCAAGAAAACAAAACAAAATATGACAGAATCAATTAATTATATCAACCAATTAAAATTAAAGTATTGCTAGAGCTGTCATAGTGTCTGCCAGTGTTTGCACTGTGGAAAGTAAATACATCTATATAATATTAGGGTACTAGTTATGTTTTAATAGGGGATGTGGTGGTGCTGTTGGTTAAACCTCAGAAGCCTGTGCTGCCGGGTCAGAAGACCAGCAGTCGTAAGATCGAATCCATGCGATGGAGTGAGCCTCTGTTGCTTGTCCCAGCTCCCCCCAACCTAGCGGTTCGAAAGCATGCAAATGCAAGTAGATAAATAGGGACCACCCCGGTGTGAAGGTAACAGCATTCCGTGTCTAAGTCGCACTGGCCATGTGACCACAGAAGATTGTCTTCGGACAAAACGCTGGCTCTATGGCTTGGAAACGGGGATGAGCACCGCCCCCTAGAGTCGAACACTACTGGACAAAACTAGACTACAGCGCTACCACATCCCTCACAGCGCCACCACATCCCTCACAGCACCACCACGTCCCTCACAGTGCCACCACGTCCCTCAAAAGGTGACAAACAAACAAGCAAACAAACAAATAAATTGCATAGACATTTGCAGTGACTAGATTTCTGATGCTTTCACAGTTTCAGAGAAGACTATGAACATTTTGAACAGGTCTGGGAGACTTTTCTGATAGAATGTTGCTAGAAAGTTAAAAACCCTTATATTTATCCAAAATTAAACCTGGTCTGACATGTTTGCCAAATTAATAGTTACATTTCTGAATTTTCTCCATAAGAAGTCACATGAGATTACTTTTACCTGTGATACTTGAGATATAACAGCCAAGCAAAACTTTTCAAATACAGGTCAGGGGAGGGATCTGAAGCCTGGTTTGGATGGATTCCACTTTCCCATCTGTGCAAAGTAGAGTTTCTAATTCTTTCCTCAAGAATTTATCATGTGACACAAGTAATTTCAGTTTCATTTATGTTGATAACATATCAGCTCAGTTAGGGTTTTTTTTTGTTACTGTTACAACACACAACCTGCTTAAGAGCACAAAGATATTTGAACAGTAGAACAGAGACTTACAGTGACATATTATCAGTATTGACAATGCATTAGTAGTCAAAGTAGGCAGATTAATTTACTTACGGTAAGCTAAGTGCATTCTTGGCTGGTAAGGAAGAATCATTTGCTCACTTAAGCCAGATATTCCACTTTCGACGGCAAATGTCATTGCCTGGATTTCCCTTTGACAGTTTGGCAACCCTGTACCCCTGTTATAGTATCCATTTATTTGTCTTGTTTTCAGCCAGATTAATCCATTCTGTTTTGACAAGTAGACTGATGGGTAATTGATAACTGTGATAGACACAAACAGAAGAGTTGGGTGCTGAATAATTCAGTACTTTTCAGTATCAATAAGAGAACAGGTTGAAAAATTTGTGTCTCTATTTACACTTAAACTAAACTAAGTCAGCCCAGACATTTATGCTGCCAGTCTATCAGAAAATCAAACAGTGTACATTTGGTTTCCACCCGACAAAATGTTTTATAAGCTTGTAACAATATGTGTGAAGCTGCCAGAATAATAAATAGGTACAGCAGCCCATGCATGCTAATGTTATGTTGTAAGCAGTTTTGTTGACAAGTGCTAATACTTCTTTCATACTATCATCAAAAGCAGCTAATACAGGAGCCATTATTTGCTGGCTTTCCAAGCAAGACATGATGGATTGTGACCTTAATGTGGGTTAGCCGAGTTTTGAAAGTTAAACAACTTGCAATAAATCATAGAATTATTACAATGCAGTTTAATTGGTTAAGGACTGTTTATTTCCTAAACAGGGTGAAAAATTTCTGTTTCGGCACTTCTAATTTGCAAAGTGCATTTTCATTATGAATGGCAGTTTAATATTCTGCTCTTTTGTCATGCAAAATATGCAACACACAAGCAATCTATTAATTGGACAAAAATGCATTGCAAGCGTAAATGATCCTTTATATCATCACTTGTGAGCTTTTACATCTATTAAATATGCTAAATGGAACATACTTAGTGTATACAACTTGCAGGCTAGTCTTGAAACTTAATTCAACCTCAAGATTATTATAATTATCTTCATTTTTGGCAAAATAAAGTTATTATGTAATTGTAAATACATCAGTCAATTAACTTTTCCTAAGGTCTGGGGTAGATATATTTTATTGACTTGGCAGTTTTTGAGTATATATCATTTTACACTGATATTCTTCCAGTATGCAAGTGTAGTTTCCCAACTTTCTTATTTAGAAGAAATGTCAGATCTGCAACCATATGCAAGCAGAAATGATTGGCAAAATATTTGAAGCATATAGTATGTGTAGCACCTTTAAAATCATATATGGAATATTTTGCAATGAGGATAACATACTATAATTAATTGACTGTTTACCTGCATTCAGAATCCTTTATGCTTGTACTGTGGCTTCCTATTTCATCTTTCAACACTAGCTGCTTAGTTTGTATCACAGAACTTAATGTATACATATACATAATTATAAATAGCTAGTTATAAGTGTTGACAGAGATATAGATATTTATATGTGCATTTGGACAAGCTTTTTTGCAGGTGGACTAAATTAAAGTAGAAACCCTTACTGTCCATTAACTGGGTAAAAATGGATATGTGATTGATGCAGATGGACTCTTTCCTAGAAACCCTAATCTGGTATCTCTACCAAATTATGCTGCTGCTAACTCACAAATTAATTCTGAGAGCTTTACTTCCATTCTTTCTTTTGAATGGATTTCAATCCAGAAATTTTCCAAATCCTCCCAGGACTTCCATGTGCAATATTCAATTAATTATAGAAATGGCTATTTCACTACAACATAATGTCACTCTGGCCTCAGTTCTTATCTGAAGTCTGGCTATAGAAAAGTCCACCCAGCTGTTGCCTGAAAATGATGTCAGCCCTTCAGTTGGTTCTCAGTGCCCGGTCTCCAGGCCAGGAGCTAGATCTGAGAGGAAACAGTGTTTGAAATGAAAAAAGTCTGGGGAAGCCTCAGCAGCTGCCTCCACCCATTCCAGCTAGGCATTAGGGCTGACTTCTTCAATGTCTTTATGTGTGTTGTGTATCAAGAAGCCAGGACCAAGAGAAGGAGAGAGAGGGGTGGTGGGGTTCATGCACTTGGGGACATTGCACCACTTGGATCAAAGCAAGGAGAAGAGCATGAGTGTCGCAACTCATGGGTCATCTTGAACAAGCCCTGGTAGCAGCATATGGGATCTGGGGATGGGAAATTCCATGTGGGCTGGCAGGGAGTCTTCCATCAGCAGCAGAGGGCCTGAAAAACTCTGTGCATGTCATGTGTGTTGTAAGTAAGCCTGCCTAGGATGCAAGCGCAAGCAAGAATGAATAACAACTTCTGCTGGTGCTGGGTTTTCTTTTGCTGTCTGGAGCCCTGTGCTAAAGTGATTAAACTGCTGTACAGCAGCCCAAACACTACTTGTGACCTGGGTTCAATCTCAGATAGCCGGCTTGAGGTTCACTCAGCCTTCCATCCTTCCAAGGTAGGTAAATTGAGCACCTAGCTTGCTGGGGGGTGGGGGCAATGTGTAGTTTGCATAATTAAATTGCAAACCACCCAGAGTGCTGTTTTTTTTTGTGGGGGGGGGGTTACTTGGCTTGGTCACTAAAAATGTCCTGCCTCCAGCTCTTAGTTGCTGTTTTAGTTAGTGTTTTATCCTGGAGTCTCTGCTCATTTCCTCAGATTCACCTCATTCCTTTTTAATAA